GTTCCTAGCCAGGCTAGGTTTTTTTAACCTGCCGCATGATGCTGTGCCTTGGCGTTTTTGATGATGCTTTTTTGTATGGTTTTGTTTTGGTTGGGTCTTTTCTTTTTGTTACAAGGGGATATGTATGGATCATCCCTGCATCCAGTTGTAAGCATTTCGATTCCAAGACGTTACTATGCATAATGATTGGTGCTGATAATGTTTCCATAAGATTGGTACTTTTTTTGCGGGGGTTCTTTTGGATTACTGGTTTTTGAAAGTATAGCTATTCTGAGGTCAGAGTTGCCACGTGGTATGGTTCAACCTGGCTGGAGGAGCGAGCATCTTGGGTGAATTTTCGCGCCGAGACGCGGCTTGGGGCCTGGGCCTATGCTGCAGCGGAGGATGTTCTTCGCCTCCACCTGCGCGAGGGGCGCAGGTGGCAGGTCCAGCTTCCGTTTAGTGGCGCTGAATTCCGGCAGTTGCAGCTGCTGCGTGGGCAGCTGCAACTGCCGGACGGAGTTTCTTGTTTGAGCTCAGCTATGAGGGTGGAGGCTTGCTCCGCCCATAGCTGAGCTCAAACAAGATTGCATGTCACCCCCCATAAGAGGGGATTTTTTAGATCAGTGGGGGACCGATTGAACAACCCCCCCATAAGCGGGGCATTTTCCATTACTCGGCGTCCGACGCCTTTGAAAAACAGTGCTGGAGTGCGAAGGGCCTCGGGCCTCGGGTGTAGGACGGAGTGGGGACAGGTGTTAACGGTTGACTTGTGTTTCTCACTTGTAAGTTTAGGGAACAACAAAATTGGACCACCGGTTAAGGACAAATGTTTTTTTCTTCTAAGTCTGTGTTTCACGAAAAGGGGTGAAGACAGGGTCGTTTTAATTTTTCCACCAAAGGGGATGTCGGTAGAGAGAGGGTGTTACCAAGTTGTTTGCAGAAAGGGTTACCAAGGCAGATTGTGTGTTGCTTGTCCGCAGTGTGTTTCTTCAAGCGCTTTTAAAGGGTGTTTTTGGATCTATTCTTTGCCCCGCACTTCGCAGTGGCCTCAGCAGAGTGTTTTTTTTGGTGCTTTTGCTTCTGATGTTTTCGTTTCTCGAGCAGTTGTCGATTGCCTCTGAAGTTCTAGCAGTCATTTTTTTTTGATGTGCGTTTCTTTGTTTCGATCTTGTGCCTGATGTGCGAGTGTAGTTTACGTTGTGTTTTCTCAGGTCGAGGAAGATGTCTTCTGAGGCGGGACATGATCTCTTGCTTGTTGTGTTTTTTAATTTCTGTTTTGTTTTGTGTTGTTGTTTTTGGTGGGCGGCTGACTCGCCGCCTCCACGAGGGTTGTTATTTTTGCCTACGGATCGAAAACCGTGCTCATAAAACGCACATTTTTGCTAATGGGACGTGGGGATTATGTTGGGGTGGGGTGGGGGGGGTGGGGTGGGGTGGGGATGTTAACGTTCTGTCTAGTGCGTACAGTACATATTTCTACGCTCCCGAGATCTCTGGAATGCTTGCCACGTTACATGTTGCTACGGTGCTGAGAGCTCTGGAATGCTTGCAGAGATCTCCTGTGGTATCCTTGCTACGTTACATGTTGCTACGCTGCCGAGATCTCTGGAATGCTTGCCGCGTTACATGTTGCTACGCTGCCGAGATCTCTGGAATGCTTGCAGAGATCTCCTGTGGTATCCTTGCCACGTTACATGTTGCTACGCTGCCGAGAGCTCTGGAATGCTTGCCACGTTACATGTTGCTACGCTGCAGAGATCTCTGGAATGCTTGCAGAGATCTCCTGTGGTATCCTTGCTACGTTACATGTTGCTACGCTGCCGAGATCTCTGGAATGCTTGCCACGTTACATGTTGCTACGCTGCCGAGATCTCGAGATCTCTGGAATGCTTGCCACGTTACATGTTGCTACGCTGCCGAGAGCTCTGGAATGCTTGCCACGTTACATGTTGCTACGCTGCAGAGATCTCTGGAATGCTTGCAGAGATCTCCTGTGGTATCCTTGCTACGTTACATGTTGCTACGGTGCCGAGAGCTCTGGAATGCTTGCCACGTTACATGTTGCTATGTTGCATATGGGGTGGGGTGTTGCATTGCAGCATAGGTTTTCGATCCGTTTATATCATAATATTAATAATACCATATGTATTATATAGATGTGAAATGATGGGAACATATGTGTTCTCTTGCTTTGGCTTCTCTCCGCTGCAGGTTCGCGACTCAGGGGCCTGGCACGCATTAAACTGTTGCCGATGTACTGGTATTATAGTATTTAGTAAGTGATTTCTATTATGGAATGACATACCATATTTTCCGACGTAATAGGGAGTTACAATTACTATGAACTGATCCATATAAGAGAATAACATTACATTGTTTCCGGCCTAGAGTGGATTATAATATTTAGTACTTGGTCACCTTGATGGAATAACAGAACTTGGTTTACGACATAGTGGGGTTTATAATATTTTTTAACTCATTACTATAATGGAATAACAAGGCTCTTGAAGATTGCTCATATCGATACAACATTCGTTTGGCAAATTTGAGACAAACACTTGTATGTTTTGAAACGCACATTAGCTGTTATAGATTTATATATATATATACATAAGGATTGATATGCATATGTTACGATGTCTTCCAACGGTTCGGACTTTCGATGCCAGTGGCGTTGCACTTGTTCGGACGGCTTGGCTTAGGATAATTGTGGGGTAGGTGAGTGAACGATTGATGTTGTCAATCTTGTGGAATTTTGAATGTAATGGTTATGATTCGTTGTTTTCACTCTGGATTCATTGCGTCCGTCTGGATCTCAAGATATCATGGACTTAGAAGCTTTGACATTGCTTCTTCTAATTCGAATTTCGAACCAGTCGTTGCCACCGTTGTTGCATGCAACAAACGCATAGGCTTCGTTGGGATTGGGCGTACCTTATGGACCGTTCCTACTTACGTAGTTATAACCTACTTATAAGTAGGTTTTAACATGGTTTTAAGTAGGATAAGTAGCTTTTAAGTTGTAGTAAGTAGGTTAAGTTAACACTTTTACTTATTCTACTTAGTCGCTACTTATATGGATTTAATTCTGATTAACCTACTTAGTAACTAGAAATAAGTAGATTTAAGTTCACAAAGTTTCGGAATGTCTAAGTAGGGTAAGTCTACTTACATCTACTTATTTCTACTTATTTCTACTTAGGTCTACTTATTTCTACTTATCCTACTTATTTTTTCCTTGCGTTTTTTGTTTTTTTCACGAAAATAGTTGTAAATGTTAAAAAACGGCTTTTGCTATTTAGCGTGCAAAAAATTGAAAATGTTGCATTGAGGAAGTTACGAATAGAAACTCAAAAGTGCTTTGTGCAACATGTTATATACTTTGTTATACTGTTTCATATTGTCAGAATCAGATTGGATTGTAGCGGTGTGTCCGCTATTAGTAGTAGCTTTCAGCTTGCAAACTTTTTTGGTAGGTACATAGCGGTGTGGCCGCTGTTGTTTTTCTTGATCAGCAACTGTGATTTTACGGTTGCCCTCTCAAATCGGAACAGTTCCTGTGCGGCCAGCGGCAAGCAAACAAATATGGATAGTGATATATGTATATATATATATATGATAGAAAGATAATAGGTATAGATATATAGATAGATGTGTGTGTATTGTCATGAATGTGAAAAGCTTTTCTGTATAGAGAAAAGAAACGTAGAGCCTTAGCAATGGATAAAGCTTTGCCAGCTGAACCTGCGCCCGAACCCGAAGTAGCAGCTGCCAATCCAAGTGAGCCACCCCTTGTTCACTTGGCTCCTCGCCCGAAGCGCAAGCTGCCGCAGCCAATTTGCAAGAGTCGGGCAGCAAATGCTGCTAGGAGAGCGGATCCGATGCCTGCTCTGCCCAAGGCTGCTCCAAAGGCACCAGCAAGGGCGTCGGCATCTAGTGGTTGCACGGCATCTGCGGCAGCTGGAGGAGTCGTTTTACTGGATTTCATGTTTTTTTGTTTTGTTGGATGCAGCGGTGTCTCCGCTAGCGGTGTGTCCGCTTGTAATATATATATATATATATAGAGAGGAATGATGTGTGTGTGTATATATATATAGGAGGAATCTTAGGTATAAGCAGTGCTTGCTGTACGCAGGAGGAAAGAATGTGCCATGGCGATTGACATTGGGGTCAAGTGTTGATCCAGGTGTTGGTGATGCAACAGCGGGTCTTGCGGCCACAAGCAGCGCACATACATCCCATGTGGCACCTGAAGTCGCTTCGATTGGTGGTATGGCTGCTAGTGTATCGGCAAGTGCGTCTTCTTCCAGTGATGCAGTCCCACCTTCACTGGGCCCTTCATTGGGTGTGCCACCTTCTTTGGGTGTGCCACATCCACCGGGTGTGCCGCGCCCACCACCTGTCCCAGCCATGCCTACAACCGTTGGGACGCGAGTGAAGGCAGCTGCTCCCTACCCGGTTCCTCCAGCACGGAGCTTCTTGACTTGCAGTTTGTTATTTTGCGTCTGGTTCTACACGTATCTGTCGCCGAAAAAAAATCAAAAGTATATCAGCATATCCGAAATTCTGTTTTTGGTTTCTTTTGGTTTGATGCTCTAGCCTGTTTGAGGTGGGGATGCGTCCACAGGGATCTACGACTTCAAGGTTGGAGAATCGTCAAGGCAGCGTCAATGGCGACTCTTCGGAATCTGGCGTGGACGAGGCGGGTGGACGAAGCGACTGCAAAATGAAGCTGAACGGTCCGAATGGTCCGAATGGTCCGAATGGTGGTAAAAAAAGGGCTTCAAAGGGTTGTGCATGTTGTGGCGAAGCGGTTTGTCCGCTTGTAGGGTTTTTTCGTCTTGTTGGCTAGCGGTGTGTCCGCTTGTAACTCTTCAGCAGTGTGAACGCTATATATAGGCAACAGGTTTTGTGAACTAGACTAGATAGACATAATACCATTGTGGCAATCTATGTCTAGTGACTGCAGCATTTGCTGTTCCGGTTTCACTCTCCCATATAGGCAACTGTAGATCAAGATGGCAGAGCGGAGGAAGCAGCAGAATTATTCTTCTCTGCACCGCTACCTGACCGCTCCCATATGGGATGGGCTGAAGCAATCCTCGCGCGAGAAGGCAGCGATAGTGTTATTTCAACACTGCTGGCTCTTAGGTTTGAGGTGTCCCTCAGAAGGGACATTCGCGCTCCTGGGAAACCTTCTTCAGATGACCAAGCCAGAGGGCGCAGGGCTTCTGACCGCTTTTGAGTTCTACCAGTTCATCAATGGTTTGAAGAAGCAGTGGAAAAGCTTCAAGGCGCTCAACCGGGCCACTGATCAGGACTATGGGGAATACCTCTTAACTCTACCTGGGGAGCCTCGTGAGCTACCAGCAGAATATCATTTGCAAGCATTTGTTCACGAACCGTTTGTTCCATGCAGTGTCTCTGCTGAATTCGGTGATTTTTTTCAGGGGTGAATTCTTTGGAGTGGAATTGGCCTGGAGAGAATTTAAGCGATCAAGGACTGCCGATGGAGGAGCTTTTGATGGCAGCTAGCTCCACCAAGTTGCGGTGGCGTGGACCAGCTGAGCAGAAGGCGACCAGTGACCCAGGGTTGGAGAAGGACATGAAGCTGATGGAATTAGCTTTCCGCATGGGGCAGAATGCAAGTGGGTCTCCAAGGACCCCGGCTTCTTCAGCTAGCTCGGGCGGTGCTGCGCCGCAGTTTCCCGCGCTGCCTTCACCGCCGGGCATGCTGGCACTCCAGGATGGTGGAGTTGACACCATATATGTTTTTGAAAGAATTTCTCAGGTTCAAGCTTTGCTGATTGTAAGACACTTTAGTTCACGGTGTGACTGTATCGAAGCGGTGTGCCCGCTTGAGCGGTATGTCCGCTATCATGTTTGTTATCACTGACTAAGAAACATGTGTCATTACTCATGTATATATATATATGTATATATATATACATACATATATATGCATATATGTACATTAGATATTGTGCAGACGCGTTTAACTTCTATCTATCTATTTATCTATCTATCTATCTTTCTATCTATCTATCTGTTTCTCCCCATATACATGTTAATGTGTACACGGGTGTGCCATGTTAGGACCAGATTGAAGCTGCGCCAGAAGAGCAGTGCGCAGTTCCTGACCAAGATCTTCCCGATCGTCAAGAAGCTGAGCCGAATGATGGAGATGGCGGTGAGCTCACAGAGGAGCTAGAGGGGGATGCAGTGCAGAAGTTGGCTGAAGCTTTGAAAAACCGTGACGTGGAGAAGAAAGAGATGCTCAGAGCTACTCCAAAGGTGGCGGCTGCAAAGCCCAAGGCCAAGTCAAAGGCATCTTGCCCGGTTAAGGCGTCGAGCAAAGCCAAGGTGAAGAAGCCACAGGAGAAGCAGAAGGCCAAGACCAGAAAGCATAACACAAAGAAGAAGGACCAGACGTCGAAGACGCGAGCTCAGAAGGCGGACAAAGACAAGCTGAAGAAGACTCGCAAGGGCCAGGAGATCAAGGCCAAGCCGCAGGTCAAGAAGACCAAGGTGGACAAACGGGAGCTTCAAATGACAGCGAAGGATGTCTACAGCAGGGCTTACCACCAAACCCGAAGCATCTTGATTGGATTTCTGTCAGCTCGTTTGCGCTTTTTCCCTTAAAGAGACAATTTCCCGAATCTTTGATCAACCTTGCTTAGGTAGGTTGGTGAAGGACAGCAGCCTGAAAAAGGATGCTATCAAATTGAAAGCCAGGGCAGCTGGCCACCGTGCTGTGCAGCGTGCTTTCTCTACACGCTGAGGGATATGTCACGGATGGAGCTTGCAAGGATCCTTGGCTGAGAAGTGCAAAAAAGATGGCCTTTCAAGTTGCGGCCCAAGTATCACTTGCACTATAGGAACTTGAGTTGTTAGAGTTTGGTAACTACCTGGTATGTATGTATGCATTATATATATATATGTGTGTATGTATGTATGTTTGTGTATATATGGATATGTATATGTATATGTCCTTCTTGTTGCTGGTACAGCGGTGTGTCCGCTTAGGAGTTGTTGTATCCAAAGCGGTGTGTCCGCTATAGTAGATCATCGTATATAGCGGTGCTCCCGCTTTCATATGGCACTTGCCTTTGCTATAGTTCCATGACTTCATCAGGCTCAGAGCAGGTTTGACTGTGTCTAGTTGGATGTCCACCGCCTTGCGCAGGAACACCGAATCTGACATTCCAATGACCAAATTTGAGTGGCATTTCATCACATGGAGAGAAATGGAGGAGCTCACAGAAGAGCGGCTTTGGGATTCATGGGCGAAGCCGAAGAACTTTCAGAGCCTCCCTCCAGCTCAAGAGACCCGGCACAGACTCAACGACAAAGTTTTGTGGATGGGAGATGGGACTTCTTCTTTGAAGTTCACCTTGGTTAACCACGAGAACTTGAAGCACAAGCCCAGCTGGCGCATGTCGTTTGTCTTCACAAGTCATTAAAAGGAGGTATATATTCATGAATATGATATAATAAAGAAACACTTGGATATAATGCTATTTCTCCCAACCAGTTGAAGAGAGAAGAGAGAAGGCAATCAATGTCTAGCGTCTTCAATATTATACCGATTTTTCGAACACATAAACATAATTTCTCTCAGCGCTATGTACACGCTGCAGGTACCAATCTGTTCGATCAGCTGATGCTTTTGTGGTTCGTCCCACAGGTGTCCCTGAGGGTACCTTGTGCTTTGAGTTTACCTGGCTGAGGGAGAAGAAGGAGATGAAGGTGAGCGTACCTACCTCTGGCCAAGAGATTGGCAAGATTCCTGGCAGATGGGGTCCACGCACAGTCTTCCACAAGGCAGGGTCTGAACAAATACCGATGAAACAAAATTTGGAGAGAAGGTGATAGCGGTGTGACCGCTTGAAAGCAATCTCTTTTTAATAGAATGAGCTCAGCTTTTTCAAAACCCTATATACTAGACTGGCTTTTCAACATGTGTCTCGCGCAACCTGAGGTCATGGATGCATTTCTTGGCTTCTGTGATTTGAGCAGCGGCAATCCGTCCATGATCCTTGGGTCATGCCAAATTGCAGCTGTGAAGGAAGACACCGTGATTGGACCAGAGATGAGGAAGCTAACCCTCGAAGAACTCTGGGGTGATTTTGGCAGCTCCGGAGATGTAGAGGGCAGCAGTGATGAAGACGCAAGGCTTGCGCAACAGAGCCTCGTCTTCAGATTTTTCTTCTCACAGTTTATTCCCTGTTCCACCCTATATAGATGATCTAGATGGTTGTCAGGATGAGTCGGGGAAATGGCCTGCCTCGGGGACTTCCTCATGAGACGCAGCAGCGACCCAAGCAGAAGGTGCAAAACAAGATGAAGAAGCCAGCATCGGCTGCGCACATGAAGAAGCCTGCTCGCAAGGTCTAAGAGCTTGACACAGCAACTTGCCCGGTAAAAAAAAGGCTCATCGATGTTTCCTGGAGCTGCGTTTTTCCAAGACATTTTCAAACAGAAAGAGCGGTGCTTCCGCCAAAGAGCCAGATGTATAGCGACAGCGGTGTGCCTGCGAGCGGTGTGCTCCGCTGCAAAGGTATACTATGTTTTTGCGCTCTCATTTGGTCAAAGCGGTGTGCCCGCTATAGGTGTGCTCTGTTAAAGTTTGATTTTTTTTTCTTGGGCTTGTTTGGGCCGCTGTGAAGTAAGAGTTTCTACATATATGAGGAACGGACATGCATCGAACATCTACTGGAATCTATCTGTTATATAAGTCTATGCTTGATATCTATCGGATACCGATGCTGCTATCTATTGCTATCTATTGCTATCTATTGCTATCTATCAAACTCACTTGGAATATCTTTCCTGATATCTATTGCTATCTATTGCTATCTATTGCTATCTTTCAAAATCATGAGAAATATCTATCCTAATATCTATCTGCTATCTATTGCTATCTATTGCTATCTATTGATATCTATCGGATATCTATCCGATATCTATTGCTATCTATCGGATATCTATCAGATATCTATTGCTATCTATCGGATATCTATAGGATATCTATTTGATTTCTGTAGGCGAAACATAGATGTTTCAAGGTCCTCTACAGCGTCCAGTGTTCTTTTTGGAGAACTTTTTGGCTGCCTTGACTTGGTAAAACCCAAGTTGCTACAACTGGCCATGTCTGCGCAGTCGATCGCCGAGACGCAGCCAGATGACACCGTGTTTCCTTGCATTAAGTGCGGCCTGGATTGTAGCGCAAAGGATAGCGCTGTTCTCAGAGGCGCAAATTGGCAATGCAAGTCCTGCACCAATGTGTACCAGATCCTTTACCGTCACATGGGCGGATTACCGGAATCCTGGAACAATATGACACCAGAGTCGCAGGTGCAATTCTTCAAGCATGCTGGAAGTGCCATCAAGTGCGCGCCCAAAAATGGACGGTGGAGCCACGTTAGAAGTTCCCTGGTCTCACAGATGACCCACTTCCATACGGAGCAAAGAAGGATCAGGTGCAATCGTGAGTTTCTCCCTCTGTCAGTGTGGGCAACAAGGGGCTTCGACACGAAGCGAATTGAAGCCAACGGGGAGATGCGCGAGGACAAGGCCCTTTGGAGATTAGTATGCAGTACATTGGGGCACACATAATTCATGTTTAATTCTTGTTTCAACTATTTTCCAAAGAATGCTTTTGCACCTGAAAGAAAAATCGTCTTTGTCAGGTCTTTGGTGAAGTCTGGACAGCACCACTGTCCACGATCTCCGATGATGACATTCGTGGTACCGTGGAGAAAGAGATCTTGGAGAAGGAGAACCGCTTGAAGGAGAAGAAGAAGGTCAAAGGCAAGAAGCCGGCAGATTCTGCTTCACCCCCAGCAGATGGTCCAGGCAGCTCTGCCTTCGCGATCGACGACGATGTTTGGAGCATTCCATCCGAGGATGAAGGCCCCATGGTGATTGGAGAAGGGAAGCCGCAGAAGGCTACAAAAACGAAGAAAGAGGACGACGCCGCGGTGGCTGCCCGAAGGGCTGCACGAGAGCGGGACCAAAAGTGGAAGCAAGAGGTTGGCAAGGCTACCAGGTACATCAACAGCCTCAACTCCGTTTGCCATTCTTTGGCGACCGTCTCCGCCAAAGTTGAGAAGAATCCCGAGTTGATTCCTGACAAGCTGACTGATGGCCTGAAGCAGGCTGTTACGCAGATGAATTACTTCAAGCAGCGCCACTGGGCCGCCTAAGAATTTGTGTCCCTGGCAGCGGTGTGTCCGCTTCTTTTTGTCAACAATGTAACGGTTCAATCTTAAAAGCGAAAATTGATATAATACAGGGATTCGCCATGCAGCGGTGTGTCCGCTTGTTTCTTGTTGAGACTTGTGTTCATGTACCGTACTAGATTCAAAATATTCTAATGTGCCGAGTGAAAGGCGTTTATAATTTTTCTTTTACTTAATAACCATTGACTGTAAACCGCGATGTGCCCACTCAATGTTGATTGCATTGAGGTGCCACCCAGCTCATCAGCGCCTCTGATGGGACTAAAAGTTCCAGCTTGCTTGAAGGCTTTGATGCTGACTCCTGTTGCAATGACCAGCTCAAAGCCGCCCAAGCAGTTTTGAAAGATTGCCGGGCGATTTTCACAGAGAAGTCTCGCGAAGCCAGGGAGGCCAAGGCGGCAGCACCGAAAGCTGCACCGGCGGCAAAGCGTAGCGCCAAGGCCAAGGCCAAGTGATAGTTGACACATTTGACAGTGCAATTAGATTTGATGACTCGAAATTCGATCCTCGCAATTCCGCATTGATTGTTGCGTTTCTTTCGACGCAGCAGTGGCAAAAGAGCATGGCAAAAAGAATCAAAATCTTTTGCTACATGTCTTGGCTTCCCATGCGGTTTTTCACATGCAGAGATCCATTCCACCTTGAGTTCTTGTTTCTATAGAAGAATGCAAAGCGGTGTGACCGCTGATTGTACAGTGCTGTGGCTGCTCATTGCACAACGGTGTGACCGCTCCTTATTAGCGGTATGGCCGCTCATGTCACTATAGGATGCACAACTTGGTTACTGTCGCATGCACAACTCAGACATATTCTGCTCCTAAATATATATTGTGTGGCTTTTGTGACAAGCACTTGAAGATGTCAAGTTTCAACAGTTGACAATACATGATATGGATATACTATATATCTGTCAGTCCAATTATCCATCTATCCATATATCAATCTGTACATCTACCTATCTCAATGTCCATATATCAATTTCCAACTCAAAGCCATTTACTCATTATGTCTCCATACAGATACATTTGGTTGTGTATTGAATCTTTTGATCATGCCTTCGCGATGCCAAAGAGAAAGGTCACATGTGAGGCGCGTGACCAAGTTGCGCGTGGCCTGTCGGTTCGAGGAGCCTCCGAAAGAGCTGTGAACCAGCTTTGGAACCTCTGGCATGCTGAGGACGAACAAATTGCAAGGGGAAGTTTCCAAAGAATCGTGGACAAGGAGCTGCAGCCATGGAAAGAGGCTACCATCAACGTGGCATTTCCTACCTATGAAGGTGGGCAGGTGGTGCTACCCATTGTGGATTTGAAACCAACCTTGCAGAGAATGGCACATGAGTCGCCGGCATTCACAAAGGCTTTAGCACGGGCGCTGCTTGGTACTGGCGTTTTGACGCCCATTTTTTATTGCGATGAGTGCCAGGCAGGAAACATATTGTCTGTGGAAAAATTGCGCAAGGCAAACATATGGTACATGTCCTGGTTGCAGTGCTGGCATCACCTCAAAAGCCCTTCGATGTGGATTGTTATCTGCGTCGTGCAATCAGCATGTTTGCAAGGCAGCTCCGCAATCGTGGGAGGTAGCTCAGCAATCATGAAATCCATTTTGGAACACCTGGTCAGCGGTGAGCATGAAGCTGGCTGGTTGCTGACTCCAGAGGTCCACTTCAAACAAAACCAAAAAGCTTGGTTTCTGGGGCACAATGACGCCATCAGGTCGGTGTTTTCGCTCAAGGGGAGCGCAGGTCTCAGACCTTGCGTCCTTTGCTCCAACGTCGTGAAGGCAACTTCTTCAAGCTTCCTCAATGACAGCACATGGAAGGATGTTGGGGCATCAGGTGGCTTCAAAGTCAGCACAGACCAAGAGATCTTTGGCCATTGTGACAAATTGAAGAGCTTCAGAACGAAGGCGGAGAGGGAGATCTATGAGAAAGCTTCGGGAATTGTCTTCGATGAGGCGTCCTTGATGTTTTCAGAAGCTGAAAGAACAAAGCTCCCTCCTTCACGTGTCATGAATGACACTATGCACTGCTACATGACAAATGGATGCGCGAGCTGGGAGCTTGCCATATTTTTGCAATCTGTTTTTGATCATACTCATGTGACGCTGGAAATTCTCCAAGGAGCCGTAGCTTCTGATCAGTGGATGGGTCTGAAGGCCAGTGGCAAAACACAAAACTATGTGAAAAATTTGCTCAATGCCAAGATGTTCAGTGACGACAACTTTAAAGGCGAGGCCCACCAGACAGCAGCGTTGGTACCATTGGTCCGGTACTACATGGAAACTCTCATAGAGCCAGCGAGCCGTGTGCCACCCGCTTGTGTCGAATCCTTTCGGTGTCTGTGCAACATCGTATCCTTCATTCGAGAAATATCTCATGGCCTCTACCCCCTTCACGAAGCATCCATGCAGCATTTTGCTGCCCTACAGCAAAAGCACCAAACGCTGTTTGCAGCGGCATATGGTGAGCAGCACAAGCCCAAGCACCATCACCGAATGCATATCCCCACACAATGGTTGGCTGCTGGTGTGCCGGTGAACTGCGAACCACTGGAGTCGAAGCATCGGTTGTACAAATCTGGGGTTGCTGACAGGCAAGTGGGGCAAGTCAGAGACCACGAAAGTTTTTCCGCATCTGTGCTTTGCCGGCTGCTGCAAACAAGTCTAGACATTGTCAAGAAGCATGGGCTGCCTTTTTGGGAACTGCTTCCGCCCATCAAAGAAGCCAGCTTGGATGACAAAATCTTTCTCGCGACTACCAGTCTCCAGACAAGCCAACGTATCTCGCTGTCGTATATGGTTACCATTTCTTGTTGCTGCTTCCCACATTTACAGATTTCCAGCGGTGTGTCCGCTTTAGGCGCAGATATATAAATAAAATTGTTAACATTTATCTGCATTAAAACCTTCACATGTTTCACGCTTCTTGTTGTATTCATGCGCAAGTCAACACATTGTTGCAAAAGGCATCCCAGCTATCGTGTATATCTAAGGTTGCCACCTGCTGGCTTGCGAAATCAGGCAAGGCGACATCTTGTGTTGGCAGCACGAAGCTGGCATCGTCTCTGAGTGGTTCTCACAGCCGGACCATGGCCTTTTTCTGCGCTACACCAAGTTGGCATTCGTTGCTGGGCCCGAACATTGCTTACATGTTCCTACTTTCTTGGTATTGTCTCATTTCCCAAAACAATTTAGCATTACTTACCATTGAAAGATTTTGCACACCTTCAAGCAAGGTCGAGAGGAAGACATGGGGATCTATTTGGCGAGTTACAACCGATGTTGTCACTGCAGCGGTCTCAACAACTCAAGCATATACCATTCCTACATGGTACCGGTTCTCCATCGACAAGATGTATATCACGTGCTTGCGCTGAAAAAAAAGGCTGTGATCACAAGTTCACTTGGGTCTCACTTGGATGCTCTTGTATCACCGTGACTATAGAAGCTTCTGCTGATCCTTGAAATTGTTAATACCTGCAGAACATTTGTGTCTCAAACGTAGAAAGACAAGAGCTGCGTCGCGAAAAGTGCCATGCTGGAAGCGCTCTTTTTGTTGGCATGCCAGATTGCTGCCGAAGTTGACGCTTGGCCACCTGAAAAACAAGAACGCTTGGAAGCATGCCGGGAATTTTGCCGCTCAGTCTGCACCGAACTTGGTCGCACTCCACAAACTGAGTGTCTCAGCAACCTGTGGGTGCTGATAACAATGACTCAATGCAGGCTGGGTGGAACTTCTGGGCACGACATTGATGCCGATGGAATGGCATGCCCGCCTGTGGCCCTTGGAGACCCATCTCAGTTGCTGAAGAAAATGAACCCATACAGGCGCCGTGCCTTCAAAAAAGACATCGAGATCATCCAGGATGTCCTCCCGAGCCTGAAGCACTTCGACCCGGCGCTGTTCAACGAAGTGCTGTCCCTGAGTACAGAAATCGACAAAATGATTTCTGATTAAGTCTAAAGCAGCATGGAGATCAAAAAATTGACCGCAGTCTTGCTTGCTACATGCTTGTGTACACACAAAGCGGTGTGCCCGCTCATGTCACAGAAAGCGGTGTGCCCGCTCATGTCACCAAACAAAGCGGTGTGACCGCTCATTTCACACGAAAAACCGCGGTGTGCCCGCTCATGTCATGTGAGCAGTGTAACAGCACATCAAAAAAATAGCATTTCTTTGGCCAAAGATTCTTTACATGCACGCAATATATTGTGTTTGAACTGTCGTGAAACGTCTTTGTGAAGCACAAAAAACAAGGTTTTTCATAAAACCTGTGTTTTTGGAGAAAACTATGATTTTTACATCGTTTCTACTTATTTCTACTTATAACCTAGTTTAAGTTACTTATTTCTACTTATCTTTAGTATTCAAAATTCAATTAAAGATAAGTAGAAATAAGTTGTTATTAAGTAGGTTAAGTAAACCTAAGTTACTTTAAGTAGGATAAGTAGAAACGGTCCATAAGGTACTCTTATCAGTGGAGGCACAATGCAGCTCTCAAAACGAGTGTGCTGCAGGAGTTGCCTGAAGTGCTGTGGCGCTAGAGAACGCAGAAAAGAGATAGCCGATTCATCATTCAACATGTTGTTGTTGTCTCGCATGGAAATCACAATATTGAGCGGTCGATGTACAAGCACATGGATATAGATAGATAGATAGATAGATAGATGATAGATAGATAGGTAGGTAGATAGATAGATAGATAGGTAGGTAGATAGATAGATAGATATGTGTAAATGTATATCTCCTGCATAAACTCCAAAAAGATAAACTTTTTTGTTTTTTCGGACCTTAAAAAAAAACCTGACTTTCCATGGAAAAAACAGTACATTTTAAAAGAGGAACAAAAAGCCTTGGAAAACACAGTGAATTTGAAGCTCTGGTTCAGGTGAAACAGACTGTGCATCACTCCGAAACCACAGCGAGAAGAAAATAAAAAAAAAATGGAAAATCAGTCGTTGACCGGGGCGGCGAGACAGCCGGCATCCTTGTTTTTCCTTTTGTTGCTGTCTTGTTTTTTGCCACGTTGTTGTGAGGCTGTTGCTGTTCCTGAGGCTGGTTATGGGCGGACAGGCATATGTTGTTGTCGCAGTAGGTTGAAGAAGTTTGCTTTTTTCTTTAAAACATAGCATATTGCATTGTTGTGAAATCTTGTCGTCTTGGAGGGTTGGTGCCTATCCTGCGGGTGGGCGTACTTTTGGTCGTCTCTATCCCTCAGGTCGGATTGCTGTTGTTCGTTTGACTTTTTCATGTGTGCTTTCTGTGTGCGTTTTTTTTTCTCCTTCCTCTGTGTCTTGTTTTGCTTGACTCAGGTCCTTTGTTTCGCGGCGCGGCGTGCTTGGATTTCTGTGTGAAACCCAAGGGCGCCCGCCGGACGTACGTTTGGGAACATGTGGCGCTCAATCCTCGGGCTTTGCTCTCAGACTGTGTTTTGTCGCGTTGGTGATTCTTTGTTGGGTTTTCTTTCGCTTTTTTTTCTTCTCCCTCTCTCCCCCACTCTCTTGGTTTTGCTCAGGATTCTCCGTGGCTTTCGTGGTCCAACAGCGTTGAGGTGGCATTTTGGTTTGCCGTGGCGCAGGCCAATGCAGGCGGGTGTTTTTTTTTTGGCCTTGCAGTTTTGTTCTTTTGTTTCTGTACTTTTTCCTTGCGAAGGTGACTGCCGTGTTCTTGCTGTTCTTCGGCCCGGGGTTCATCGTAGAAGTTTAACGGGGGTTGGAGAAGTAAACCCTTATTGAAGATCTTCAATGAATGTAGAAGTTTAACTGGGGTGGGAGAATGGGAGAATTAAACCCTTATTGAAGATCTTCAATGAATGTAGAAATTTAACGGGGGTGGGAGAATTAAACCTTTATTGAAGATGTTCAATGAATGTAGAAATTTATCGGGGGTGGGAGAATTAAACCCTTATTGAAGATCTTCAATGAATGTAGAAGTTTAACTGGGGTGGGAGAATGGGAGAATTAAACCCTTATTGAAGATCTTCAATGAATGTAGAAGTTTAACGGGGGTGGGAAAATGGGAGAATTAAACCCTTATTGAAGATCTTCAATGAATGTAGATGTTTAACGGGGATGGGAGAATTGAACCCTTATTGAAGATCTTCAACGAATGTAAAGTTTAACGGGGGTGGGAGTTTAATATTACCTAGTACCTTTGTTGATCTTCCCAATTGAATGTAAAGTTTACCGGTGGTGGGAGTTTAATATTCCCTAGTACCTTTGTTGATCTTCCCAACTGTATGTAAAGTTTAACGGGGGTGGGAGTTTAATATCCCCTAGTACCTTTGTTGTTTTTCCCATAGGAATTCTGTGAAATTGCATCAGCATTTGTTTGGGGATGGGAAACCTCTACGCTGCAACGCCTGGGCAAAGCCCAGGCGTTGCGCGTATATGTGTATATATATATATATATGTGTATATCTGTACAAGGCCTTAAATATCAGCTAAATGCATATGTATGTGTGCATTTACTGTATATTCAGGAGAAGATATGTTCAACGTTCTCAGCCAGGACGTGAACGCCTGTGCTGTCTCCCCGGACGGCCATGTCCTGGCCACGGGCTCGGACGACTATTGCTTCGCCACCTGGGATAGGACGAGTCGCCAATGCGTGGCCTAAAACATGGCGTTTAGAATGGGTTTCTCCTATCTTTTGTTGATCTAAAAACATGGGTTTTGATCTAAAAATTGCGTTTAGAATGGGTTTTGATGTTGGACATTGGACAATTATGTCAAAAAACCTGGGTTTTGATCTAAATGATCTATAGGGACGGACAAATACTTAGAACATCATTTGGAAAAAAATCTGAAATCGTCACAGCGGGGATGTTCTAAGTATGGGGTCGAAAAAAGTAGTTAGAACATACCCAAAACCTATACTTAGAACATTTCCAAGCTATACTTAGAACATCCCAGTGGGGAACCAATGGGAACCATTCATATATGTATGTTCGAAGTATTTGTCCGTCGCTAATTATATATATATACACGATATAATACTATATATATATATATATAAACATTCAAAATTATACATAATTCATTTTAGCTCATTTTAGTATTGAAACCTATGCTTTTTGACTACCCCCTGTAGGAAACCCACAAATTATATACTAGAGACCTTCCCATTGCAGCGAAGACTGCTTGGGATATTGTTCCCGAAGAAAAGGTATAGAATGCTGCAGCAGTGAGGGGAGAAAGTGTTCTAAGTATGGTGTTCACCAAGGTATTTGTGTGTATATATGCAGATTTACCAAAGTAACAGGACATGTCCTAAGTATATGTGTGTTTTAATGTTCTAAGTAGGCAAAAAATCAAAGGAGATGTTCTAAGTATCTGTTTTTCTGATGTTCTAAGTGCGTACTTAGAACATTTCTGATGTTCTAGGTATAGTAATTTTGATGTTCTAAGAAAAGGTTCCGACATTTTGGAAAAATTGATGTTCTAAGTATATGTCCGTCGCTATAAATTTGATGGTGTGATTGGCACGTTTTGCGTCCTAAACACAGCTTCACAGGTCCACCAATAGCTGCAGTGGGGATACAAGCACCGCCCAAAGGTGAACCTCCCGGAGGGTTAAATCGTGATGACAAAATCTACAAGGTGGTGCACTGTAGATAGCCAAGTTGTTTTATATAAACACCATCAAGTATAATATATGGAGGTTTCCTGGAAGGGCGGGTACCCTTAAATCATCAATTCGAATAGAGGTTTCCATTATAAACCAAGCATTTGGGGATCCCCCATTTATGGAAACCCGCATATATATGGAATTATATATATTATACATGCTCACCCCCCGATGAATCACATATTCTATATATATATATCACACATTCCTTAAAAAGCCTATTTGATGGAGGGGTAAGGTCTGCCTAAATAGGCTTTTTTGGTGGGTATGATTATATATGAATATATATCAGTAGAGAGTAGCTAGCATTAGCTAGCGCACCGATCGAACTGCACGGGGTTCTCCAATCTGGATGAAGAATGATTCAGGAGGAGGGCATCTAGGCCATCTGCGGGCTACAGGCGCTAGCGGACCGCTCGGCAAAACCGCTCGGCAAACCGTTGCAGCCCTATCATATAGTTTAAACCCTAAAACCTTTGCAATCCTAACCCTTTCTAACCCTAAACCATCCTAAACCCTAAACCCTAAAGCTCTACTGCGCGCTCGCGCGCTCGCCAAACCGTATCATATAGTTTAAACCCTAAAAACTTCGCAATCCCAACCCTTTCTAACCCTAAACCCTAAACCCTCAAGCTCTACTGCGCGCTCGCACGCTCGCGAAACCCTATAACTCGCGCTCGCACGCTCGCCAAACCCTACCATATATTTTAAACCCTCAAAACTTCGCAATGATAACCCTTTCTGTCTCCAAAGAGTGACGCCACATGTTGGCACGTAGACTCCTATACCGCGAACTAGCGCGCCATTCTTAGCCCCTTCCGTTGCCACATGTTGGCACGTAGATAGAATCCTATACCGCGCGCCCGTGCACTCGCGAAACCCTAACGCGCGCTCGCATGCGCTCGTGCACTGGCCATATACCCTATCATATAGTTTAAACGCTAAAAACTTCGCAATCCTAAACCCTAAACCCTCAAGCTCTACTGCGCACTCGCACACTCGCGAAACCCTAACGCGCGCTCGCATGTCGCCAAACCCTATCATACATTTTATACCCTAAAAACTTCGCAATCATAACCCTTTCTGTCTCCAAAGAGTGACGCCTTAGGACTTGCACATCTTAGCCCCTTCTTCTGTTGCCACAGCACGTAGATAGAATCCTATACCGAGCGCTCGCGCGCTCGCGAAACCCTATCATATAATTTAAACCCTAAAAACTTCGCAATGGTAACCCTTTCTGTCTCCAAAGAGTGACGCCTTAGGACTTGCACATCTTAGCCTCTTCTGTTGCCACATGTTGGCACGTAGTATACCGCGCGCTCGCGCGCTCGCGACACCCTAACGCGCGCTCGCGCGCTCGCCAAACCCAATCATACTAAGACTTCTAAATTTATTTATTTTCACATCAGGCACTTAATGAAGTTATAAGTATATTATAAGTTGCTATTATCTTGCTAATATCTTGTTTAAATTGTTTATTTTTATTTTTTTGTTTTAAGTTCCACTAATCGTTTAGGTGAACTTGTAACATAATAATGAACATATAAGTAAATATAGTGGAATATTATTCAAAAATAAGTTGAAATAAGGGAAAAGAAGCGAAAATAAGTAAAAATATGTTTTTTGTCAGTTTTCAACATTGATGGACATGGATGTCGATTACCACGGAGCAATTTTGGCTTCAAAGGGAAGGGCATTGGAATTTTTATAACGAAAAAAATATCTGGAATATATAATGTTTCCTGTAAGGAGTAGTTCCTGGAAAGTTAGTATCCCTTTTTTCTCTGAAAAGATGACCTCCTGTAATGTATACTTCCTGGGCAGGCAAAAATATGAGCAGTATAATGTTCATGAAAAGCAGTTCTTTCACAAATAAAAAAAACTCAGTATGATATTTCACCAGAAAAAAAAATGTAGCTTCTTGAGCTTTACGTTTTCCAGGGATTCGCATTTGAAGTTGTTGACAGTCAAATTCTTTAAATTTCTCAAACATTACGATATATTCTAATAGAAAATTTCAGATCAACTCAGTTGAAACTATGCAGAAAAAATATTATAAAATATAAAAATATTGCAAATATATATATATATATATAAATTAAGTTTGAGACATTCAGAGTAATAAGAAATCTGAGAAACAATACACACCACTCAAAAAAAGATTGTAATAGAAATAAATGGAGAAAAGTAACTTACTGAGAAAATTTATAATGCTTAAACATACAGAAGGTAACAAATTTATTATTTTTAATGTATATACGTCAGAAAATTTTGAAAATGAGAAAATGTAGAAAATGAAGAAAATATTGAAAATGTTGAAAAGTCGGAAAAAACAAAAAAATCAGAAAATTTAGAAAATTTTAAAAATTCAGAAGAGTTAGAAAATTTAAAAAAATCTAAAATTCAGAAGATTCAGAAAATTCAGAAAATTTAGAAAAAAACAGAAAATTCAGAAAATTCAGACAATTAAAAAAAAAAATATGAAAATTCTGAAATTCAGAAAATTCAAAAATTTCAGAAAATCCAGAGAATTTAGGAAATTTAGATAATTCGAAAAAAATCGCAATATTCAGAAATATATATATATATACATAGATATATAAAATTTAGAAAATTTAGAAAGTTCCAAAAAAATAGAACATTCCGAAAACGCAGATAATTTTTAGAAAATTATGAAAATGTGAAAAATATGAAAATCAATGACCAAAATGTATATAAAAATATAAATTTAGAAAAATAGTAAAATATGAACATTTTTATAACATTTTCAATAAAGATAAAGTTTTAAAACTATAGAAAGTAAGAAAGTGAGTAATTTCCAGCTTGTGACAAAACAAGGAAAAGTGACCAAATATTATCTGAATGGAAAAAGGTCTTCGAAAAGACATTTCCTGTAAAGGATAATTCCTGGAAAGGAAAATTCCTGAAAAAGGATTCAATCTGAATTGAAAAATTCCTGATAAGGATAACTCCTGAAAAGGATTCATTCTGAAAAGAATAATTCCTGAAAAGGATAGTTCCTGAAAAGAGATGATGCCTGAAAAGGAAACTTCCTGTAAAAGATACATTTAACAGGACAAGGAAGATCTTGCATCGGAACCATGAAAATATCCAAACAAAAAAAGAAAACGCAACATTCTTATATTTTTTTAATTCAAAGATGTTTTACAAAACCCTATGACAGAAACATCTTTCGTCTTTTATCAATTTTAAACAGTAAAAAATAATGAAAAATTAACCTAAATTAAGTGAAAATAAGTGAAAATAAGTAAAAATGACTTCTATGATAAGTTAAGATAACTACTAATATTTTCATTAAGTGCCTGATGTGAAAATAAATAAATTTAGAAGTCTTAGTATAATTTAAACCTTAGAACTTCGCAATTGTAACCCTTTCTGTTTCTAAAGAGTGACGCCTTAGGACATCTTAGGACTTGCACATCTTAGCCTCTTCTGTTGCCACATGTTGCCACGTAGATAGAATCCTATACTGCACGCTCGCGCGCTCACGAAACCCTAACGTCGCCAAACCCTATCATATAATTTAAACCCTAAAAACTTCGCAATGGTAACCCTTTCTGTCTCCAAAGAGTGACGCCTTAGGACTTTCACATCTTAGCCTCTTCTGTTGCCAACATGTCATCAGTAGCACTGCAGTGAATTGCGATTGTGCTCATATGATTTGGGGTGCTGGCTGCTCACACACCTTCGGCCTTTGGCTATCGTGGCATATCTTGGCTGTATGCCAGAAGACGCTATCTTGGCTGTATGCCAAAAGACGCTGACTCTGACTGTGTCGCTGTATGTTTTATTTAGTTGATAATCAGACAAATAATGATAATCTGATAATCAGATTATGACTATTGACTATTGACATTGACTATTGGGGAAGTACCGCCCCAATTAGTAAAACCATGGGCCATGGCCATGGCTTATTAACCCGGAGTTGGCATTACATTGAGATACATTACAATTCAAATTCAACATTTTGGGTCAATTCTTCCCTTTTAGCTTGATGATTTTCTAATACAACCACCATTTTTTGTTGTGGATTTCCCAGCCATGCCAGGTGCTGAAGCTACAAAACGCCGCAGAATGCCGCAGAGTGGAAAAATGGCCGATGGCAAAGAAAGGGACCAGATCCAATAGGAAGATCATCTTTCAAAGGGTTTTTTTTGGGGGGTTCCATATATTCCATGTTAAATGGTGGGCAAGGAAGGCAGTTGTCCCCATTTGGAAATGCCTACTTGAGGTCCCAGGTCCCCCCCTCTAAGGGCTAGGTGAGAGAGAGAGAGAGAGAGAGATATATATATATATACATTGTCTCTCTCTCTCTCTCTCTCTGTATATATATATATATAAACATCTCCCGTTCTTCATCTTCGGTTGCTTCCAGGAGGACAGGTCAGCAGCTCCAGCACTGGGACGGTCGCCGCGGCGAGGGCCACAGCGGCCGCGTCTACGCAGTGGCCTTCGAGGGAACGGGGCGCTACCTGGCCACCGGTGCGGTGGACAAAAAGGCGCGGGAAAGGGGAAGGGTGTAGGTTAGTAGTGTGGTATATCTATAGTATATATATATATATATGGTATATGTATTGTAAATCTATATAGTATATATATATATAGTATCTCTATAGTATAATATTTATAGTATATATAGTAGTTCCCTGGGATATGGAGTCATGGAGGATGTGACTTGTTTCCGATCATCCTATCTGGGAATAGTATCGATATGTTTTGATAGTTCTGGTGTTTGAACAGTTATGCAACCAACAGTTATATGCAACTATAGTTTTGTGAACATAATATGTGAACATAATATGTCAACCGACAGCTATATGCAACCATTTATGTTGCGGATAATGAGGTTTTGACTATCAAACATGTGAGAATAATGTCGATATATTGGATTGATTCATCAGTCATATTGATTTTCACAACACATGCAGATTTGATTGAGAGATTATTGTTGGATATGGTTGATGATGAAACATGGAACATGTGGCCGGAATTATGAAATTGGTGTTGATTGGGTATTTCAAGGGCATTTAAAGGCATCATTAGTGAGTGTTTTTTTAAACACAAAACAAACCAAAAAAAACAATAAACACATGGGGAAATACATGAAAATAAACTCTAATTCATAAACCATGTTTGGTTGAGCAGTGGTTGGTTAGTGGGAGTGGATAAAAAACCCGATAGGGATGCCTATTAAGCAACCAGAATCATGGAGTGGCCTGGGGGTATCTCAGGTGGTGTAATGATGGGTGAACCGTGAGTGAATGGGATTTTATGGGTATTTCCGGCAACTCTATTTTTGAACAATGGTATATAATGGTCAGGCAGAAGAAATCAGGTGGACTGTTTTTTTTGTGACACAGATTTTTGCAATACAACCCAGGTTTCTTTTGAGAATAAACCCGAGACCGGGTCGACCGTTACAGGTTGAGGATTAATGTTCATTGGTTGAATCTGAACTGCAAATCTTCATTCTGCAAATAACTCTCATATTTGTTACTAGTTGAATCTGACCTTTGTGTGATATCCTACCCCTTAGTGACCCATTTCCTGATGTTGACATATAGTGATTTTTTTCTTTTGTTTGGGGAACTGATTTCCTACACCGTGGTGCCACCCAGTTAAAATTGTCGGCTTACAGACCCCATTGTCCCACTTGTCGATACATCTAGGCCATAGACCATAGATATATAACTTATAGTTACCCACTTAGCCATAAACCAACTTACTATAGGTGATCTATGATCAAATGTATAGTAAGTTGATTTATGGCTAAGGACAATTTACTATATAGAATATAGTAAGTAAGTTTATGGTTCATCAACTGGTTCCCTTTTTTCTTGGTCAAATCCCCCCTGGTTTCAGGCCAAGATTTGGGACCTCCGCAAGGGCGGCCCGGGCGGCCGCTGCCTGCATGCTTTTAGCCACACGGATCTTGTGAATTCTGTGGAGTTCCTGGGTGAAGAAAAAGCCTCAGTTCCGGAGATGAGACAAGAGGAGCAGTTCCTAAAGTGATCGAATCGAAATGATTAGTAACTGATATAATGGTATATAATGGTTATATTACATCCCATTGCTAATATCGAACTAAGATTCACAAAATCATCGACAGTTCAACGCGTTGCTATTCATCGTTAAACGGTTAAACTCATACAAAGAAGGCTTGTAAAACCCCCCAGGTTTTCGGCCGATGGCAAGCTGGTCGCCTCGGCGTCGGACGACGCCTTTGTGCATGTGTGGAAGGCGGAGGATGCAACACTGGTGGCATCGCACCAACATCCCATGCCGGTGGCTGGGAAGTTGTTACAGGGCCACCCATGCGTGTGAAAGTGGGAGATACCATGGGACATCCGTCATACATCATACCCATAATGGATCATAAGCATTTTCCATATGAATGGAACATGTGGATATAATGATAATCCAAAATTTAAAAAAATATAATGAGTATTCTAGAACATTAGAATTCATTTTTCTTAATGGTATAATGCCATAGAACATATGAAGGCATCATGATTCATGGGATTTTGGGGGTTCCGTCATTCGTAATTTTTCTTTCAGGGTTGATGCCTGGGATCATGGACATTTTGAAATTGTGCGTGTCTACTAAACTTAGAAGTTGGATGAAGTTGGTACCCTCTTGTAATTTAACATAGCTATGGAAAATCACCATCTATAGTAGGTAAATCAACTATAACTGGGCCATTTTCAATAGCTATTTTAAATTACCACAGGGTATATAACTAGAGGCTACAGATTCCTTGGGTGACGTGGTGGTTGTCACCCAAATATCATCCGCAGTGTTTCAGGGGATTTCTGGTCTGGTTCACGGCCTTTCAAAGCCTTCCAAGCACCCGTAGTCAGTTGCTTCTCGTAGAAAAAGGTTTTGACAATTTGATCCGCTTTATCCATAGAACATATGGGCTACCACCAAAAAGGTCTATGTAAGGGATATGTATTGGAATGGAACATAGGTCAAAACCTGCAAAAACGAATACATATGACACTTTTCTCATTTCTAGAGTCGTTCACCGGTATGTTTTGGGTCATGTTAGATCCACCATGACATGTCCTTCCCAGCGCCAGGTCATGTGTGCCACCTTCTCCGAAGACGGCGGACTCGCCAGTGGCTGCAGCGATGGCCACCTGAGGTTCTGGAAAGACACCGAGCAGGTCGTGGGGCTCGGTGAAGAGACGTCAACGACGCTGACTTGTCGTGCGGCTGTGAAGTCCGTGAGCTTCATCCCATTGTGATGAGATGTGATGAGATGTGAGGACCCTCTGGTTATGTCAACATAGCTATTGAAAATGGCCATTAATATCCATTAATAGTAGATTTTCCCATGAAAAATGGTGATTTCCCCATGAAAAATGGTGGATCTTTCCATCAGTTTTTTGTATGTTTACCATGCCGGGTATATGGCAAAGGTTCCCAGGAAACACGATGAGTTCACCCAATGGGGGGGATCGTGGCCTTCCCCGTTAAACAGGCTTTATGACATATATAACGTATAGGCTACTGTATAGGCTATATTGTCTAGGCTATATTAGGCTATATTGAATAGAATAGCTATATTAGTATATAGGAGTATCCTGCAGAGTAATGGGATGATGTTTTTTTTCTTTATGGTAGATGAAACTGAAACTAACCGAGCTTTTGTTAAAGCGACGTCAGCGAAATCGCGCTGTGCGATTTCGAAGTGATGGGACCACAATCCCAGCGCAATGAATTTCTGGTTGGTGGCTTGGAACATGGCTTTTATTTTTCCATATATTGGGAATAATAATCCCAACTGACTTTCATATTTTTCAGAGGGGTTCAAACCACCAACCAGGTCTATTTAGATCATTTTAGATCTAGTTAGTACAAAGCCTCAATTGGGTTTGTCTGAGCATAGCCTACTCCCAAATTTTATTTTGATGTATTTTGATTTGATTCAATCACTATGTTCACCATGATTCATATCTGGGGGGTAACCCGCCCAGACTCTCAGACACACTCAAGTCAAATTCCAGAGAGAGCATCGTGATCTATCGTGGACACAGTCAAAGTGGATGTCAATCTGCTTTGGGATTTCGATATTTATGATATTATCAATTATTCAGATCCAGTGGCTACCATATCCCATAGGATCCATGTATGGTATATATGCTAACATTGGGGGTATATTGATGGTAAATGTTACCATATATAGCATACATGGATCCTATGGGTTTGGTTACCTCATGAATACCACAACTTTAAGCTGGTAGCTCGTTCCATTGTAGCAGCTGCCGATTTTCGGCATGGCGCTTCGGCTGCCTGACCCTTGCAGAAAAGTTTACGAATGTGACCTCCGGTGTTTCCAACAAATCTTGCGGCACTCCCAAAGTCAACAGCATTTCGGTTTTCGTCCACAGGAACTTGACATTGTTCATTCGTGTTCGGTGTTTCAAAATTGACATTGAAACAACATTAAAAAACATACAACTTAAGTTTTGGTCTTCTCATATTTGGACAGGTTGGTTTGGAACATGGCCGGATTATTTTCCATTTGGGAATTTCATCCCAACCAGTGGATTGAAACCACCAACCAGTGGATTGAACTCAAGCTACATCAACACCGACGACTGAGTCATCCCCTGGGGATGCCATGATCATCTCTTCCGATATTTTGTGGTACCAGTCTGTCAGAGTATTTTTGTTTGATCATCCGTACTTGTACCTCTATATAATCTCTATATATAATGTCAGAGTATTTTTTTCGGATGTTCCCATGTTTCATACGTCGGAATCGATGAAATCACATAAATCAAATATAAGTCACTGTTCTGTTGCACATCCAAAGATTGCTACCATTGAGTAACAGCCTTCCCATTCCTATTCCAGGTGGCCAGAAAGCCGAGGAGCGACTTGAGCGACTTGAGCGCGCGCCTGACCAACCACAGGAGTGTTCCAGTAAAGACCCCCTTGTTGTAATATGATTTAACAGTTGAACACAACGCCACGTTCTTTGACCCTCAAAAGCGTTTAAAACATCGGAGTTATACTTTGCAAGTGACAAGTGTTAACTTAGCCAGCATATGGAGTTGTCCAGTAACAAACCGAGATCCAGCCAGCTGGGGGTACACCATGGCATCCACAGCAGTTTTAGAGTCTGAAGTTCCAGCTATCTCTTGCCCAATCCAACTGGAGCTGTTGAATGTGCCTAGCATTTGGACTGGTCTATTCCCCCTTTCACTGAAATTTTTGAGTAGGAATGTTTTTCACATTCGGACCTTGATGACTGGTCATTTGTTTGGGTTCAATGCCCTTGGATGAAATCCATCTATCACATGGAGTTTGCCATTGGATGCACAGAAGAAAAAAAGCTTGGCCAGTGACGCAAACAGCAACGAGTCAGTTCTTGCTGGAAGTATTTGATGATACCACTTATTATCAGTTCTGGTCGGTGGATAAATGGATCAAAAATCGAAACCCTGGTTAAACTGACTCCATTATCTTGCTGGTGATATTCTTCCGTTTTTGTATGTCTAATTCCAGGTTGTTTTTTGCTGGCAATGTGAAAAATCTTTGCTGCTAAAACCTCCAATGTTTCTGTTTATGGAATTGATGATTTTGTCGTTGTGTGAATCTATGGTGAATCTATGGTTAATAATGGTTAATAATTGGAATAACAATATATTTGGTTGGTGGTTTGGAACATGGCTGGATTATTTTTCCCATCATATTAGGAATAATGATCCCAACTGACGAACTCCATCATTTTTCAGAGGGGTTGTTTTACCACCAACCAGATTATATAAAATGTGGTACCTTTGAATATTAAGTATAATAATGATAGTTGTTCAATTATGTTTCATTGATATAACATTTGCTGTTTGGTGGTTTGGAACATGGCTTTTATTTTCCATTTCATATATGGGATGTCATCCTTCCCATTGACTCATATTTTTCAAGATGGTTGAAACCACCAACCAGTATAACATTTGGCTACCCTCTGGTAAGCAAACAGTTCGCTATTGAAAATGGCCATAGAATTAGTGGATTTACCCATTAAAAATGGTGATTTTCCATAGTTTTTTGTATGTTTACCAGAGGGTAACTGTATTTTTGTTGGACACCCAGAAGTCGCAGGAGATCCAACGTCACCTGAGCACCTTAGATCTTAGGCTGTTACCTCCGGCCTGTCGGACCTTGGCTGTGGGCGAGGGCGACTTCGTCTTCTCCGAGGTGCGCAAAAAGATAGGAGTTCCGAATGACCAGCACCATGATGTACCCATTTCGAATGTTTTTTTTGTTGTTTTAAGGTTTTGTCGTTTTTTGTTGATGTTTTTTTTAACCAACATGTACCAACATCTACCAGCAATCGGTTTAGATTGCTGAATTTACAATGATTGACCATAAATTATACCATTTGGTTATTTAACATAGCCATTGAAAATCACCATTATTAATAGGCAAACCATCTATAAATGGGCCATTTTCCATGGCTATGTTAAATAACCAGATGGTACAATCGATATTGATAGCCTTGTAAAGCTTTTTTTTAGTGGAACAGCGATACTATCGAAGCCACAGGATTGGTGAAAAAGCCACTATCGAAGCTGCAGCTGTTTGATGTGAATTCTGGCAGGCAACGCAACAAGCAATGGGAGACTCGTTGAAATGTGAGGTTTGTCGAAAAGAATGTGAAAGTCACTGGATTGGTTCAAGGGAAAATCTACAGGAAACCATGGTTTTTACCATCCAATTATATGTGAAAGTTGATGCTGGATCATGAAATTTGACCATCCCAGACCTTGACAAACAAGTGTTCAGTTTTTTAGTCTAGCCCTAGTCTTGCAGCAAATTCCCCCGAACAAAAAAGTGGTTATGGAATGTTATGGATTGTAATTAAAGTCCCAACATTGAATTATTCGTTGATCAAGGCCATTTTATCCCATGTTCATCGCTTTGAAAGGCAGCTTTTACTTATTCACAAACTCAGGGCAAAGTCCAGGCTAAATCCAGGATCTGTTCCTGGAACCATTTTTGGGTACCTCGGATTGAAGGATACTGGATGATATCAAATGATACATAAAACGCACAAAAAACAATCAGAATAATCATGATGGCAATGACAATGATACTTATTGTGTTAAATTACAGTTCTTTGAACTCCGATACCTCGTAATCATGACAACAACTATACAAAACATATTCTCAACAAAAACAACAACAACAACAACAACAACAACAACGACAACGACAACGACGACAACAACAACAACAATAACACCAACACCAACACCAACACCAACAAGAACACCAACAAGAACAAGAAGAACAACAAGAAGAACAACAAGAAGAACAACAAGAAGAACAACAAGAAGAACAACAAGAAGAACAACAACAAGAACAACAACAAGAACAACAACAAGAACAACAACAAGAACAACAACAAGAACAACAACAAGAACAACAACAAGAACAACGACAAGAACAACGACAAGAACAACGACAAGAACAACAACAAGAACAACAACAAGAACAACAACAAGAACAACAACAAGAACAACAACAAGAACAACAAGAAGAACAACAAGAAGAACAACAAGAAGAACAACAAGAAGAACAACAAGAACAACAACAAGAACAACCACAAGAACAACAACAAGAACAACAACAAGAACAACAACAAAAACAACAACACCAACACCAACACCAACACCAACACCAACAAGAACAAAAAGAACAACAAGAAGAACAACAAGAAGAACAACAAGAAGAACAACAAGAAGAACAACAAGAAGAACAACAAGAAGAACAACAACAACAAGAAGAACAACAACAAGAACAACAACAATAACAACAACAAGAACAACAACAAGAACAACAACAAGAACAACAACAAGAACAACAACAAGAACAACAACAAGAACAACAACAAGAACAACAACAAGAACAACAACAAGAACAACAACAACAACAACACCAACAACAACACCAAGAACAACAACAAAAACAACAACAACAACAACAACAACAACAACGACAACGACAACGACGACAACAACAACAACAATAACACCAACACCAACACCAACACCAACAAGAACACCAACAAGAACAAGAAGAACAACAAGAAGAACAACAAGAAGAACAACAAGAAGAACAACAAGAAGAACAACAAGAAGAACAACAACAAGAACAACAACAAGAACAACAACAAGAACAACAACAAGAACAACAACAAGAACAACAACAAGAACAACAACAAGAACAACGACAAGAACAACGACAAGAACAACGACAAGAACAACAACAAGAACA